CCCTGGGAGAACCCTACAGTAATGTTTAACCCTCCGAGGCACCTATACACAGACTTCTGCAGTTACCATTGAGGAAGAGCAGAGCCTTCCTTTAAAACCCTCTTGGGAGCTCATGTCAATGAATTAAGAACCTTGTCGTAGCAAAAGTGATTTCTCTGCCTTCTATGCCAACGGCCCTACCACTATCTACCATCTGTGAGTCTAGGGCTGCTGTGGATTTTTTTTTTAACCTCAGAGACCCAGGCATCAGTCTCCTTCCTCAGTTTCCCAGACTGTAGTAGTAAGAACAACCTCAGGTATGTCTGCACCTATTCATCTTTTTGTTTATGATCCCTGGGATGGGTCTGAGACCCCTGTATATGCTAGGCAATGCTGTATTCGAAGCCAAATGCTTGCGTCCAGTTTTTAAAGACTGTGTTCTGGCTGGGTGGTGGTGGTGCACGCCTTTAATCCCAGCACTCAGAAGGCAGAGGCAGGCGGATCTCTGAGTTTGAGACCAGCCTGGTCTACAAGAGCTAGCTCCAGGACAAGCTCCAAAGCTACAGAGAAACCCTGTCTCGAAAAAAACAAAAACAAAACAAAAAAGACTGTTCTGTTCTTGCATTGTTTTCTTATCTCTTCCAGAAGATAGAGAAGACAGACCTAGAGTTAGAACCCTAAACTAGTATCTATTTTTGAAAGACAAAGCTTTAAGTTACAGAGTCCAAAATGACGTGATGTTGTATGGCAGAGCTAAATGGGGGAGGGGTCAGCACCTCAGGAAGCCAGGCTGAGGTGTCTATCTGGGGCCACCTCAGATATGAAAGCCAATTACTGAATTTTCCAGAATTTTAAGAAATGGTTGTTAAATGGCTATCATTTAAATTATATAAACTTACAATTAGATGAATTACCTAAGAAACAAGGGCAATCCATATTAAAATCCCTTTGCTTCCTAGTCATTTTCCTGCACTCTCTGAGGCCCCTGGTGGGGAGGGGCTCTGTGTGACAGCAGTGAAACTGCAAATGTGGTGACAGCATTCAGGTCACAGAGGGTCATGGCCGTCCAATCAGAAGGCTTTCTCTCAGGGGCGTGCAATGGTGACATTTACTAGCACCCTGGTGCATGCAGTCCTCTTCCTGCTTAGCAGCCACCAAGTCCCAGGCCCTGTCCTGGTGGGGCAGGTTCAGGATACAACAGAGAAATGTCAGAGACCACTTACCGTAGCTTCACGTTCTGCCCTGTGTAGGACTCATACGGCTTTTCCACGTGAGTAAACTCAAAGTCGAAGGCCTGTGACTGGGTGATCTCTCCTGGCCGAGCCAAGTCCTTTACCAGAGACACAAACTCATGGTGGTTCCCACGGTCATAGTAGAGTTCTGGAAAGAGAACAAAGCATCCTCTAGCCGACTTGACTACACTGAACCTAGTGAGGGCATCACAGGTCGGAGGGACCAGTCTCTTCGAGACTTGTGGCCTTGTTTTAGGGCTTCTTCTTTTTCCCTGACCCCAGCCTCTCCACTGATTTCCCCAGACACATGCCTTTCCAAAGACATGTCCTTTCTGGTTTGTTTGTTTGAGACAGGGTCTTACTATGTTACCTAGATTGACCACTAGTTCTTGGGCATAAATAATTCTTCAAACAAGGTGTGCACCATTATGCCTAGCTGACTCTTCCAAGTCACACAGTAAGAATTCACGATACACACACACACACAGGCCAACGTGATGGAGAATTATGAGCACTTTGTTGCTCTTGCAGAGGAGTTGTGTTCAATTCTCAGCACCTACACGGTAGCATTCAACCACCTGTAACTCCAGTTCCAGGGGATCCAGTGCCCTCTTCTGACCTCCATGGGCACCAGGCATGCACGTGGTGTACACACACACACACACACACACACACACACACACACACACACACAGGCAAAACACTCATATACATAAAATAAAGAAACCTTAAATAAGCAAATAAAAGCCAATGTGGCAGTCAGGCCGAGCTGGTGGCTGGGTTTGTTGAAGGACATCAGCTGTGGAATTTGTGATTTGAGCGAAGATTGAAGTCATGGCTGGTCCTGAAAGTGATGCCCAGTTCCAGTTCACTGGTATTAAAAAGTATTTCAACTCCTATACTCTCACAGGTATAATGAATTGTGTTCTGGCCACATATGGAGGCATTGCTTTGTTGGTCCTATACTTCAAGTTAAGACCTAAGAAAACTCCGGCTGTGAAAGCATCAGAACTGGGTCTTTCAATGTCTGACCTCATCTGTTAAGTTCCATGCCTGAAGAAGCTGATGTCAACTCATCATGTAATACTCAATTTGTACAATAAATTATGAACCTGGAAAAAAAAAAGCCAATGTGGTCTCCAGGCCATTACTTCTGCTAGCAATCCACGGTCTGCGCACCAATAAAGGTAAGAGGATTCTGAGATGGTTAGAACAGATTCGGTGAGCAGTTTTCAGCATGTATGAAGAGACTCGATATAAAAAAAGAGGACCTTTCCAACATTCCTGGCTTTTGCAGGAAATGCATGGTTACTTTATTTTATCTTCCTTCAATAATCCTACAAGATGGATAGGTCAGGCCTCTTGTTCCATAGTTCAGCCTGGCCCAGAATTCACTAGGTAGCACAGGCTAGCCTCAAACTCACGGCAATCCTCTGGCTCCCAAATCCTGGGACTAGAGATGTGAGCTCATACCCACCTGGCGTTTCTCCATGATAAGCTCATGTTATCACCAGACCCATGATTATTTCATGACTTTTTGTATTTTGAAATTTAAGGATTAAGTTTTGAGATATCCATGGTCTTTCTTTACTCCTTTGGACTGAGGGACCTTTAAGATGAGACCCATAGCTCCAGCTTCCTGGCCCCAAGATGTCAGCTCTTAGCTCTGCCTGTGATGATACATGACCAAGTGCTAGCTCAAGCCTCATCTCTCAAATATTCTTGACTTCAAGCACCGTGCTAGGCTGCAACCCATAGGAGAGAGATGAACTGGAAATATGGGACAGCTGCTTGAGAGATGAGGCTACTGCCCCTTCGGCCTGGTCCTGGTTCTCAGCATCGCTAGAGCATTATCTGTCTCTCTCTGGAGTGACTAGATCACTCTGAGCAGTGAGTATACTTGCTCTTGCTCCAGCAGCGTAAGATCTGAAGCCTGGAATGGAATCAAAACTTTATTGAGAACAAGAAACCAGAAATCCTGCCTCTCCAGTGCCAGTGCAGTCTTCAGTCCTGGCCCGGGGGATAAAACCATCTCCAGACAAAGAGAAACAATCTCAGCTATTAATTTTAACCTGAATGCAAATTTTCCCCAACACTCCACTGGCTTCCCCTGCTCATCCCATGGGCAGCTTTTCCTTAGCTCTGGGACATTTGGAAGCATAGTAGGCTATTGTAAGATATACCCGACTTGAGCTGGGGGTATTAACAGTGGTTGAGTACTTATCTGGCATTCATGAGATGGCCCTGGGTTTGACACCAGCATTAAAAGAAAAAAAAAAAAGAAAGAAACAAACCAACACTAAACAGACAAGCAAACAAAACTCTAAAATCATTTATCCATGGGGCTGGAGAGATGGCTCAGCGGTTAAGAGTACAGGCTGTTCTTCCAGAGGTTCTGAGTTCATTTCCCAGCAACCACATGATGGCTCAGAACCATCTATAATGAGATCTGACTCCCTCTTCTGGCCTGTAGGCAAAAGATGCTATATACATAATAAATGCTGTATACATAATAAATAAATAAATCTTTAAAAAAAATTTTTTAAAAAAAGTAAAATCATTTATCCAATTCATGAAAGTGATATAGTACAGAGAATTCCATTCTAGTAATGTTATTTCCATACAAATTTACAGTGTATCCTGTGGCTAATATATGTGGCTTATTTCCTACCTTGGTATAGTTTGATCAATTTCTTTGTTTTATTTTGGTTTGGTTTTTGAGACAATGTAACCCTGTCCTGGAACTTGCTATGGAGACCAGGCAGGTCTTGAAGTCACAGATATCCACTGGCCTCTGCTTTGAGTACTAGATAAGAAAGATAATAAAGGCATTAAGTCTTTTATTACAAATAATCTACTTCCTCTTCCAAACACTAAGTGACCTCAGCAGTGGGTGGCATGATGGGTAGTAAGGGATAGTCTACAAATCCACGGACGGGAGACGGCAGTTCCAGATTATGTGGGAGAAAGATATCAACTCTGTAACTACGCCCCCAGAAAAGCAAGAACACGCAGAACGTGCAGCGCAGGGCTGAGCTGGCTTTCCTCAACAATAGGGAATCTTCCACACAATCCTGTGACCTAACCTGGTAGATAGTGCTGGTCCAAGCGAGAACTGAACCTCTCACTTAGGAACTCAGTTCGCAAGCACTGGATTTTGGCTCCAGCGCCAATGAATTCAAATAAAGAAGCACAAGGCCCCAATATCCGTGAACTTTCAATGGAAAATTGTAGCATCAAGAGGAAAGTGGAAAGAGAGAACGAAAAAAAAATACAAAAGCAATGATCACACAGCCCAAAGGCAACATGAGAAATAAACAAAACAGAGAGGGTTCAGAGTGCGCTCCAGCTGCCAGGATTTGAGGATCCTAGCAACACTACAGAAGTGCACTGCCTGGCCCAGCAGGGGACTTGGGTACAAGTCCTTTTCCTCAGGGCATCCCATTCTCCCCAGTGCTTTTCTTCCCGTGACACGGATCAGTGCCTATACGAAATGCTACAGGAAAGCAGTGTGGTCCGAGGAGGCTAGGATGGTCCTCTGTTGTTTTATTTTGTTGAGATGGGCCTTGCTACATATCCCAGGCTGGCCTTAAAATCATGGTCATTCTCCTGATTCATCCTCCCTAGTGCTAGATTTATAGGCACGCCAGCTACCACATCTAGCTTGGAATGGTCTTTCTGATTTATAATTTTACAAGCAACTTGGAACCCTTCTGCAAACACTGTGGCCAGAGGGACAGAAATAGTTTTTTTACACTGTTCTTTGCCAGAAAGGTTGGTTTCATCTTGAAGAAATTGAGGCAGAGAACCCAAGTGTTCTAGCAAGAGGTCTAGGCGCTAGAGACTATAAAAACAGCCTCTCTTCCATCCCAACCAAACACAACAGCCCTTCAAGCTAGACGTAGAAACTGAAGCCCTCACTCCATTCTTTTTTTCCAAGCAACTTCTGTCATTAGTTTCCTTCTTCGATCAAAAGGAGGAACTAATTTTTGCACTCAGGAGGCTTTCGTGGCAATATCTGCCACCAACAGCCAGAAAGGGAGGTGGCCAGTGTGGAGGGAAATTGAGCCAACTGTTACGTCATAGGCCAAGCCTTTGAGTCACCCTGGGATCTACTGCTGGACCAGCACCACGCAGAGTGTCGGCTTCGTGTTGGACTGGGGAGAGATACAAAGCAAGAGCCTCCTCTCATCTGACTTTCTTAGACCTTTTGCTGACCAGGCGATGAAGATCCTGGCTTGCTACAGCTCCTGCCCCCGGAAGACCCGTAGGAACAATTACACTTCAAGGTTACCCATATGCCGCTCTGCTCTGTGCAAATCTAAGCCCTGCTGAAAACTTGGTAAGTCTGCTTTTTCACTTGGTACTTCAAGAGTAAATGAGTTTTGGTTTGTTTTTTTTTTTTTAAAGTCTCTGGAGTTGCTAAAAGTACAGGCTTATTGGTACTGATGAGCTCATTAAAAACTTTATAAAAAAGTATGTATTTGGCTCTGGGGTATAAGGATATTTCTGTCTGCCCATCTCTGCCAGGTTTGACCTTCTGATTATATTTGGCTCATTTAACCCCATTAGCCTGCAAAGTTCCCAACTCTGGCTTACATGCTCTGCCAGTATTTCCCAAAGGATTTCAGCAGGAAAACGGTCTTTTCTTCTCTAACTAGGCAGCAGCGCCCTTGGTGCTCTTTGTATTACGACTGCATCTTGCTAATCCCACCGGTCTAACCTGGAAGAAGACTTCCCCCGTCACACATTTATTGGCATCGTTCCAGCAGAGGCCATGCCATGAGAAGAAGCATGCTAGGTATCGGGAGGCTAACAAAGCAACTGAGAAACTTGCGAAGGATAACAAAAAACATATGGCACTAAATGAAGAACTAAGAACTTATTACTCTCTTGCAACAATCTTCAAACTGTATCAGAGCAGTTGCTATAGGATGCACGGAGTCATAGGTCTGGCAAACTTTTCTCAAACAGAGAGACGTCATTTCAATGTATAGGAATATGATGGGGGGGAGAGGCAAAAACAAGTGAGCTGGCATCAAACTTACTGTTTTCACACCCTAGATCCCTCAGGAAGATGCTGATCCACTAGACACATGATGGTCAGATGCCACTTAAGTTCTCAGTGGCCTTAACTGAGAGGAACACTTAGCTAGCTCCTGAGCGTGTACGGGAGACCCAGCTGCTTGATCTAGACCTTTCTTTCCTCCATTAGAGTACTTCCAGGGGTCAAGGATGTAGCTCAGATTGTGGGATACTTGCCTGGCACAGGTGTGGCCATACGTTTGTTCCAGGCTTCTACAGAGGATGAAAAAAATATTCCAGAAAATGGTTTCTGTAAGACCTTAGATCTGAACCAGTATTATCCAGTTAGCAAACATTTACTGGACACTTTATGAGGTAGCCATTGGGACTAGAGATTAATCACTGGACTAATGATGGACTTAAGATAGTCTCTGGTGTTTGGGGTAAGAATTCAGACAACTGAAAAAACAAAATAAAGACAATAACAAAGTCATAGCCTACTTGAAAAGAGGTATTCTTGGAGCTTTTAGTAGAGGAAGTGATTAGGTAGGCCTTCGGAAAAAAAGTACAATTTGGGTAGGACATATTTTTCAGAAAAAAAAATGTTAGAATATAAGAGGAAGATGGTTGTGAGTTGACATGTGGATGCCGGGAAGTGAACTCAGGACCTCTGGAAAAGCAGTCAGTGCTCTTAACCACTGAGCTACCTCTCCAGTCCCCATTTACTTCATTTTTTTTTTTAAGATAAGGTCTCACTATGTAGCCCAGGATGGCCTGGAACTCATGCTCTCCCTGCTTTTGTCTTCCAAGTGCCAGATTGACAGGTGTGTGGCACCACGACTGACGAGAAGAGGCTATTTGAGGGAGCTATCACTAGTGAGGATGAAGTTAACGAGAGAGGGGATCTGGAAAGGCAGGCTGAGACAAACTCCAGGAAGAAGATAAATAGACTTCTAGAAGTCGGTAAAGACACAAACAAACTTTTAAGGAATCAGCAGGATGAGAATTGCCTTCTAGGAAGTTCCCCCTTGCAGAAGAAGATGAGAAGAGTATAGAAGAGATTGCCAGAATCTCTTAGAGAGTGAGACAGGGACAACAGCTCCGACTCCTCCAAGACCCCAACACACAAGCAACCTGCTTCCTCAGGAAGAAGGACAGAACTCAGAGATGCTAAGTCCCTCTCTTGGCTGCGGCTCCGGTTACCCATATAGCCTGACCTTATAACCTGACAGACATCCTGCCTACTTGATACATAGTCAAAGAACGCAATGAAGGAGAAAACCACAGAACCACAACTTCAACAAAGTTGCCCATTCTCCTCGCTCTGCTGCCCTGGAGTCACTTCATAATAACTGTCTTAGAGGGATGACACAATATGCCAGGCCTTGAATCTTTTGGGAAGTCGCATACATAATAAAGAAATAGGAAGCCCAAGGAAAGTACTTTGCACCTCTGAATACGCTGGCGTATCTTTAATATCAACTAATTTTAGGAACAGAGAGCGTGGTAGGGGGACGTGGGAAGACAAACGTTTATACCAAACATATCTAGAAAGGCTGTTACTTTATTGCTTTGTTTTAACACAGGGTCTTGCTATGTAACCAGATGGCCTTGAACTCCGAGAGAGATCTTCCTGGCTTAGCCTTTGGAATCCTGGGATTATAAATAAATGCCATCATGTCTGGTTAGGAAGGTTTCTCTGATGTCTTCTTCTTGATCAAGAAACAGACCTCAAGTCCAAACAATAAACATACTGCTTATAATTCCGTTTTAACCTATTACCATTCTCTCATGTAAGCATGGATAATGAATGGGAATGAACGTGAACTACACACTTTAGACACCACGTCCACTGCTAGCTGTGTGAAAGCCCAGGTGGTACACACAAAAGCTGAAACACATACTCTGTAAAAGTCCCTACGGCAATCTAATTGAGAAGACTAAACAAGGTCTAGGGGAGACTGAATCAGAGGCTGCAACTCAGTTTGTAAAATGGACCGATCGCTGCATTGGCTGCTCTTATCTTTATAAAGGAACTCTCTGAGACATGAGACACAGTCCCCCAATACCACATCATAATAACCAGGTGATTTTATTAGACTGTAATTTACAGCTGACAAAGCTGAGGGCTGATCAGGTCAGAGTGCCAAGGGCCTCGGGAGAATTATCCCAAGAAGCAATAAAAGGTTTTAAGAAAATTCTGTAAGGTTACAGTCTTGGAAATAAAGGCGTTAGGCAAGAGAACAGGTTGGGCAATTACAACAAACAGCTTCCTTGGTTACCTTGCATTTAAATAAAAGGGAATGAGCTCTGGACACCAGGCATTCCTTCTAGAATGGCTCATTTCATACTATGTGAAGCAGGGGACATGCTAAGTTATTCACAATCAGGGCGTGATGGTATAGACAAAGACTAAAACATACTTGCTGTTTATACTGGTATTAGAGAGCTAATGTCATAACTTTAAAACTCCTAATTAAAATACCAATTCTCAGTGGGCAAGTATTGACTATTTCATATGTTATCCTTAACATAAAATGCTTTGGATTTATCTAATCCAACCTGTGATTCTTTACTAGGGGTGATTTTATCCACCATGGGAACAACAGCAATATCTCACGGCTTTATGAGTGAAAAGTAGGGAATGCCACTGGTGTCTAGTACAGGAAAGGCTGAAGATACAGATAAGAGCCCGCAACAACAATGATCAGGCTCCAGATATCAATCAACAGCGCACCTGTCCTGCCATCCAAGTCAAAAGCAGGAGGGCAACCAGTGTAAAATCACACATCCTGGCTTTAAAACAACCCAACGGGGCCCTTTATGATCAGTCAGTCTTTCGGGGGATTTTAAATACCAGATGCTTAAAACCAAACAGTAGGTTACAAAATCTGGCCACCAGGACTTTTTTTTCCCAGGGCTCCCTGACTCTGTAAAAGGGAGAACAGACGCTAGGCTGAACTCCTAGCATGTGAATCTAACATGCTTTCCCAAGGAAGTCTCTGAAATCGGTGTCCATATGTGCAGTGTGGGGAACAGCATAGGGATTTTTTCAGACAGGTGGTCACCATCGACAGGACATAAGCTACTCATGTCCTCATAACACAAATATTTTATTTTAGAAATACCCAAGCAATTTGCTAACACAAAAGGCTCCTAATACTTAGAACTGGTGACAACCCAGTCACCATGATGGGCAGCTGCCCAAATCTTTGTGCGGTTTTGTTTTCATTTGAGACAGGGTTTCACTCACTACGTAACGGTAGCTGGCCTGGAATCACTCTATTGGCCAGACTGGCGTCAACTCACAGAGATCTACCTGTCTCTGCCTCCCAAGTTCTATTATTAAAGGCATGTACCATCATATCATATCATACTCAGCTGGCTCCCCAATTTTTTTTTACTACTTTCCCTTGTCTAATTCTAGTAAAATTATCAACCATATTTTGAAAATGATTATTGAGCACTGCAAATTTTTGACCATTTAATGGTAGTCTTTGCCAATATCACTTCTTTCGGTTTAAGGAGAAAAATCAGACAACTGAAAACTAGCATTCTGATGAAGAAGTCTGAGAAATACATGCATTCAGAATGAGGCGGGCTGAAGGTATTCAAAACATACACATGAAAGGTAGTTCAAAGTGGAGGCGAGACAAGCAGTCTTAATGCACCCTGCCTACCAAACCACATCTATATAGGTACATATATATTTTATATACATACATATACATACACATATGTGGATGGGTGGGGTCACCGCTTAACTTTGGATTGGATCTGACAGCCGTAGCTGTCAAACCCACCTGCAGGATCTCGCCTAAGCACCTCACTATGACATTCCGGGTGCAAGAAGCACAGCTGGGAGGATACTGCAGAGACAATGGGGGTAACCAGGTACCAGGTGAGCATCCAACCGTACAGCAGGGGGCTCCCTACCGTTCCTAGCCTAGCTGACCCCACTTCCCCAGTAGCACCGCTGTCACTTTTGGCCTGGAAGAAGGTAATGAATGCATGGGGGAGTCGCCCACGGGCGGGACTCGTGGGTGAACCCCAAGCTTCAGACTGCAGTTGACAAGAGCCTAGCCTGTCATAGGCCTCGCTGGAGTTGGGCCCTGAAACCCTCTGTTCCCCGCCCGTCCCACACCCGACTCCAGGGGCGGGCTGACGTCGCGGGCTTGGGGAGATCCCAGGGAATCGACTCACCGATCTGCCCAATGAACTCGATCTTGATGCCCTGGTGCTCTAGTCGCTTGTTGGGGTTCTTCAGAGATAAGCTCACCTTCCCCGAGACGGTCTCCCCATCGTAGAAGAGGAAATATTTCTCCTTCTTCCCGTCTTCTGTCTTGTGCTCTGCTCTCTTCCTACTCTCCGCATCATTCAGCAAGATTTCCACCTCCACGCTCTGCCCGAAGCCGAAGAAGCTCATCTCCCCGCCTGACCGCGCCGGTACCGGCACAGACTGCTCCCTCCCTCCAAGGTGCGGACTGCCTGCGGGGAAGGCAGGCCGGAGGGCCGTCTGCGGGAATGCGCTGGACGCCGCACCGCAGCCCCCTGCACGGTGGAGCGGGACGGTGGGCGATCACCGACGGCCTGCGCCCCTGGGGAGGGGCAGGGCCGAGGAGGGCAGGCGGCTGCGGGCTGCGGCGCCCGAAGCAGCGATGCACCCAGAGGCCAGGCACCGTACCTCCCCAATTCCCGACGGTGCAGCGGCGAGGGCCCAGGCGCACAGGCGCAAGCACGCGTTCCGTCGCCCACCGGGTGGGGTCCAGCGCTCAGCCACGCACCGAACTGCCTAGACTCCTGCGGTGCAACGCACCGAAGTGCTACGGCGGCGCCGGGCGGGGGAGGGGGCAGGAGAACTCCGGCCCGGATGCGAAGGAGATGCCACGCGCAGGCGCACGTCTTCTCCTCACCCTCCTAACTCCCCCGCCTCCCAGGCCGCCAGGAGGTGCGCTCATCTGCGCATGTGCAGTGCCAAAGGGCGGCTGGTCTCTCCCTTAATGAAGATGGCGGCCCTGGCCTCTTTCCAGTAGCACTTCGGGCCCAGATTTTGCGTGAAGTCCTAGCACTGCAGGTGCGTCCTTGTAATACTTTTGGTTGCATTTTCCTCATTTCGTAGCCAGATAAACGCCGGTATATTGTTCACAATCTAATATGAGCAACGTTTGCGTGCTGTCTGACGGGTGAGGTAGCTTTGATACATACGCCAAGTGTCACTCGGCAGGGGCAAAGGTGACTGCTATTACAGGAAGTGCCCTACCTCCACAGGCCTCTAGGTTTCCTGCAGTGTAAGAAGGACAAGGCGGTAACAAAAAACGCTAGTGGTGTTCTGACTGCCAACTTGCACTGGAACGCTAAAGGAAAGTCTCCACGAGCCATGTTTGGCTCCCGGTCCTCGCCCCACCCATTTTTGCGCACGCCGTGGACGGCCCAGACCATTGGCTTCTGTTACGAACTCGACCCGGTGCGGCGATTGGTCGATTGTAAATCCGGAACGCTGTGACTGGTCCGCAGAAACGTCTCGGAGCGCGCGCGGGAGCCGATGCTAGCCGGTACTTCCATGGTCACGATGGCGCTCCAGGATCTCGGGAGAGATCTGCAGCCTTGGTGTCCGCTGGATCTCAGCCCCGGTGAGGTCAGACTCGCAGGCGCGAGTCCTGCATTCAGGGCTTGGGGTGCTTTGCAGGGCCTGAGGTGTCTCAGCCCGCGGCCCGGTCCGGGTGACGGTGGGGGAAGGGGAGGCTGAGTCTCTGCAGGGACCGTGAGCCCCGGGATTGTGACAGTCTCTCCTGGGTGGTGGCCAGTCAGACGTACGTGGGATCTCGGTCCAAACGAGTAATTGTTAAAAAGAGAGCTAAACCGTTCTAGCGTGCGGGAGGCCGAGACTGGAGGATTGACAAGAGTTCAAGACCATCCTGGGCTACATAAATGAGTTCAAGTCGGTATGGGCTACAAAGGGAGTGTCCCAAGAACAAAACAACAGCAGCAACCAAAAATGCCTCTCCTGATGCTATCGCTTCTGTTTTCTCCATCTGTCACCCTAATTCTGCCAAGTCTTCCTGGACTTAACTATTTCCATTTCCAGGAGGTTTTTATACAGCCAATCTCTTTATTCAGACTAATTTTGTTTTCTTAAAACTTGTGATCATGTTGTTCTACTAGGTGGTTCACATGCAGACCTTGTTAGTTGTCCGAATGAAGTCAAGATTCCAAAAGCCAGCCAATTGCACCAGCTAAATCACAAACTTGGGAGTTTCCGTTTTCATGCCCACTGCCCCTTGTTGTCCCTTCATCCAAGCTCCAGCCCTAAGGTAGCTGTCAAGGTCCGAGTCCTTATAGCCAGCCAAGGCAATTGCAGGATAATCCTAACTGCTTTCTGATGCTGTCACTGTCGCCTGTGCACCCTGTGTTATCCCTTTTTGGTGGGTACCGGTTTACATGGGTCAGATCTTTTGGTCCTTCCCATTTGTTTCCTAAATAGATGACCAGATCATTGGCCTTCCATGGAAGAGGAGTTGTGGAAGTCTGTTCTGTAGGCGTGACATGACCTCTGCTATCTTGACTTCAGAACAGTTGTAATTATCTATAGGAGATATGGATCATTGTCTCCGGTAGAAAGGGAGGAGGGTATCTGTAGACTCCTAGTGGAAGTTCCAGCCACTCCTCTTTTGCCCTTCCTAGCTTAATACAGC